CCACAACTACAGAACCTGAGCTCTAGAGCCCATAAGCCACAACTACTGAGCCCACGTGCCACAACTACTGAAGCCTGTGTACCTAGAGCCCATTCTCTGCAACAAGAGAAGCCACTGCAATGAGAAGCCCGCCCACCACAAGGAAGAGTAGCCCCCGCTCGCTGCAACTAGAGAAAGCCTGTGCACAGCAACGACGACCCAACATAGCCAAAAATAAAAACAAACAAATAAATAAATGTATACTAAAAAAAAGCAATACATGCCCTGAAAGTTTATATTTTCAGTTGTGTGTATGAACTGAATCAGAGCCCATTTTTTTCTTTTTATTAGAGCCATACTAGTGAGTAAGAAGTGGTACCTCATTATGTTTTAGATTTGCATTTCTTTAATGACCAAGGATTTTGAGCATCTTTTCACATGCTTGTTGGCCATTTGTATAGCTTCTTTGGAGAACTGTCTATTCAAATGTTTTTTCCTAGTTATTAATTGTTGTTTGTCTTTTTGCATTTCACTAATGTATAATGACGTTGAACATCTTTTTATGCACTGTGTATATGTTCTTTGGAGAAATGGCTATTCAAGTCTTTCCCTCATTTTTTACTTGAGTTGTTTGTCTTTTTGTTGCTGAGTTGTAGGAGCTCTCTATATATCCTGGATAGTAGATCATCATCAGGTATATAATTTGCAAATATTTTCTCCCATTTTGTAGGCTGTCTTTTCATATTTTTGATAATGTCTTTTGATGCACAAAAGTTTTTAACTTTGATGAAATTCAGTTTATCATGTTTTCTTCTGTTGTGCTTGCTTTTGGTATCATATCTAAGAACTCATTGCCAGATTAAAGGCCATGAGGATTAATTTCTGTATTTTCTTCTATGAATTGTATAGTTTTAGCTCTTAAATTTGGGAAATTGATCGATTTGAGTTAATTTTTGTATATGGTCTGAGGTAAGGGTCCAACTCCATTCATCGGTATCTGGATGTCCAGGTGTCCCAGTGCCATTAGTTAAAAAGATTAATCTTTCCTCATTGAATGTTCTTGATGTCCTTGTCAAATCAGCTGTCCATAGAAACATGAGTTTATTTCTAGACCCTTAGTGCTCTGCTCTCTCACTGATCTCTATGTTTGTTCTTATGCCAGTACCACAGTGTCTTGGTTACTATAGCTTCACAATAAGTTTTGAAATCAGGAAGTGTGAGTCCTCCAACTTTGTTCTTCTTTTATAAGATTTTTCTGACTATTCAGCATCTGTTGAAATCCGTATGAACTTTAGAAGGAGGAACAGAAGCTGAGAGTGAAGGAACGAATAAATAGGTTATGCAATGAAGGAAATCCAATATTACACTAATGCTTCAAAAGAGGCTCAGAGAAAAAGATGGTATGTCCCTTAGTTCAGTTATACCAGATGTCTCAGGGTGAAACCATCTAATCCTGAGACCACTTTTGCTTTGGAACCTGATGAGATATAGGAGAAGACTGCAAACCTGGGTGGCCTTGCCGTGGGAGACGTTTTGATCGTAAATTATAATGATGGACTGAACTAATTACTCTTATTTTTCATGTAACAGCTACACAACGAGATATAACACTGGCATTGTTGGTAAGACTACAGTATTAATATTGATAGTCAAATGTATGGGAAAATACAGGCCTCCTATGCCTACCCCACACTGATTCCTCCAGATGTTAGGCATATTCATCTTGTTACTATTGCTCTACCTGTTATATAGACGTACACCAAATGTAGATGATCAGACAGGTATGATTCTTTTGGCTATAAGGGATCCTTGGTGAAAAACCAGAGAGTGGCTTGTGATATAATAAAGAACTTATCTGGTCTTTGTCTTCAGTTACTGGCACAAAGCTTCAAAAACCTTTGGAATTTCCGGAGCAATAGGAGTCTCTCTGTTATACTAATGAGGTGACTTCTGGCAGGGCTCCTAGATAGCTCTAGGATGGAAGAGGTTACTCACTAGAAATAAACAACCATGCAGGGACTTCCCTGGTGGTCCGGGTCGTTAAGACTCTGTGCTTCCACTGCAGGGGGCACAGTTTTGATCCCTGGCCATGGAACTAAGATCTTGCATGCCACGCAGCACGGTCAAAAAAAGAAAAACCATGCAGATTGAAGGGCTGGAGTTGAATTCAATCACATAGCCTATGATTTAATTAATCATGCCTACATAATGAAATCTCATCGAAAAATGCTGGACAATGAGGCTCAGGGAGCTTCCTGGTTGGTGAACACACTGATGTACTGGGAAGGCATACCCTCACTCCACAGGAACAGGAGCTCCTGCCACTCAGGACCCTTCCAGACCTTGCCCTACATAACTCTTCTGTTGGAAGCCATCCTGGAGTCCCTGCGCCGTGACAAAGTCATGATGCAATCAAAGGCAGGACTGCAAAGCAGCACTGTGCCAGCACGGCGGACTACATCTCTATTGATTTGTTTGGTTGTGTTAAGCTTATATATGGAAATAGCACTAGGGGGATTTGCAGCCAGGGTTAGGAAAATGAGAAAAACTACTACCCACCCCCCTACTATTATTACCACAAAATGGAAAGTACCTATTCCGGCCCCAGGAAACTGGGAACGCAATACACAATCTGGAAATATAAGGATGTTCCTATGGAAAACACCCCCAATTGAACAACTGTGGCCCTATGAAGGGCTTGTTGATGATTTTGGTTTTATCTGGGTCCACTATAAAGAAAGGTTAATACTTTGGCAATAATTGCCGGATGATAAACAGGAGTGTAGGAGGTATTGTGAGTGCTACTAGTGGAGTCAGCAACACAGGAACTGTAGGATATATTGTAAATATTTTCAAGGCACTATTCAAAACACTTGCCCATGCAGAAAGAACACGAAGATTGCACTTCTGTAATAAAGACTTACATAATAGCTTGGCTTAACGACTAGAAAATAACCTGCAACTAATGAGAACTTGGGGAAATATCTTGATAGCACATCTAGAAACTACAGACAATTCTAAGGTAATCTTTTGAGGAAATCTTGTGGTCAAGGGTTTGAGGCCTAAGGCTAGACTATATTATGATAATTATGTTTTGATTATGTAAACCAAAAATATATAAGCTTGCTGAATAACAATAAAGCATGCTACTATCTGCCTGACTCCAGAGACAGTGTCAGTCTCGTTCTTTCTCCGTCGCTGATGCTGTTCCTCCCTCAGGTACTCCTGGACTCGTTGGAGCTGGACTCCAACACTCTTCATCTGATTGTTCACTTGCATGCTTTATAATTAAAAAAAGGTAATCATAAATAGAGCACTTTCCCGAGTTCTGTGAGTCATTCTAGTGAATTACTGAACCTGAGGGTTGGTTGTGGGAACCCAGGAATCTGTAGCCAAGTCAGGCAGTACTACACGTAACCTGGGGAGCCCACTTGTGGCTGGAACCTGAAATAAGGGGTCTTACTGAGAACCTTGCATTTTAACTTGTGGGATCTGGCGCTAACTCCAAGTAGTTAGTGTCACCTACAAATTGGCGCTTGCCATCTACCTCTACAAGGATCAAATTATGAGCCGCTGCAACTGCTGACCTTCAACACCCCCTGAAAGGAGTTCAGGGTGGAGATGAGGAATGAGGCGCTATGTGCTCTAGGAAAAACTGGCAAAACAGGTCTTCAGATACATATTTTCAGGAGACAATTTTATGAGTCCAATTGTTGCATCTCCTTGTACCTAGAAAAGCACTAAAATCATCCCTCATGGTGACACCTGCTCCTGGTGACTAGCAGTAACCTTCACGAGACTAGCAGAAACCTCCTGCAAAGAAATATGTGCTTCGTTGCATGTACTCTCCCTGCACCAAAATCACATATATACTGAACTTCCCCCGCTACCTCTTTGGAGCAGCTTCTCAGAGCAATCTGAAATGCTGTCTACTGGACTATAGTCCTAATTTTACCCCAAATAAAACTTAACTCACAACTCACAGGTTGTGCTTTTTTTTTCAGTCGACGTTAGTATCAGAATTGGATTGAAATGTAGGACACCCAGTCAGTGTTAGAGAATTGGTGTCAGATACAGTAACTATAATGCTTTTTTGGGTTCTGTAAGTCATTCCAGCAAATTATGGAAGCTGCAGGAGTAGTGGGTATACCTGGGAGTGTAGATAGCTAGTCAAAGTGAGGACCCCTGAGCTTGAGACTAGCGTCTGAATTTAGAGCAGTCTTATTGCAACTGTGCTCTTACCTGTGAAGTTTGGCCAAACTCTGGGTAGTTGGTGACAGAAGTAATTTCATCCTACATGGAACATTATTCAGCCACAGAAACGAAAGAAGTACTGATACATGCTACATCATGGATGAACCTTGGAAAACAAGAAAAAAGCCAGTCACAGAAAGAACACATATTATGTGAGTCCACTTATATGAAATGTCCAGAATAGGCAAATCTATAGAGGCAGAGAGTAGATGAGTGGTTGTTTAAGGGTCAGGATAGGGTGGGGGTTAGGGAGGTTATAGTAAAGGAAAGCAAGTTTCTTTATAAAGTGATGGAAACGTTCTAAAATTAACCGTAGTAAGAGTTACACATATCTGCAAACGTACTAAAAACCATTGAATAATACACTTTAAGTGGGTGACTTGTATGGTATATGAATTATATCTCAGCAAAGCTGTCATTTTTTTAAAAGGTAGTTATCTTTTATAAATACATACTGAAATAGCTATATGTGAAATATAAGGTGTCTGGGATTTGCTTCAAAAGAATCCACTGGGGGCTTCCCTGGTGGCGCAGTCGTTGAGACTCCGCCTGCCGATGCAGGGGACGCGGGTTCATGCCCCGGTCCGGGAAGATCCCACATGCCGCAGAGCAGCTGGGCCCGTGAGCCATGGCCGCTGAGCTTGCGCGTCCGGAGCCTGTGCTGCGCAACGGGAGAGGCCACAACAGTGAGAGGCCCGCGTACCGCAAAAAAAAAAAAAAAAAAAAAAAGAATCCACTGGGGTGGAAGGGGGAACAGAAGGAATAAGACCGGCCATAAGTTGATAACTGCTGAAGCTGAGTGCCTGGAAGCTCATTAAACTCTTCTCTCCACAGTTATATATGTCTGAAATTTTTCATAAGAGGAAAAAAAGAAAAATTCCATGCAACAGTCTGGCTCACTCAGAAAAGAGAGGTCACCTCCTATGGTAAGTTATTGTTTAGAGGCCCCACCCAGAGCCCTCAGATCAGGGAGATGAATTATTGAGGGGAATCTGAGAGGCACAGAAGCCATGGAGCACGGAGAGGCGATGAGCACAGGGGCTGCTTTGGGCCGGGGCAGCTCAGCCCCTTCAGTCCTCACTGACAACCCACAGACCAGGCTGGCCGTGGTGGTGGAAGTAGAGCGAAGGAGAAGATCTGGTAAGAAGCCTCCACACATTCATCTCAGAGGTAACACAGCCTGGGAGAGCCTCTTGGGAGAGGGGGAGGGCGAGGCCATCTCACATTAGGAAACTGAGGCAAACGTTGAAGGCAGGACTCAGGAGTCCTGAGACTTCAGTTTCCCCCATGAGAGTTGATATGAAGCCCACCTGTCTCAGGCCCCGAGGAGACCTGTTGCCCCACGCTCCTCCTGGAGGGGCCCAAGAGCATCCGCCTGTGTCAGCGTGGGATTCTGGAGAGTCAGGTAGAGATGGGATGGGCTGTGATGGGGTGTGGGTAAGTCCAGGGAAGATGGGAGTGACACTGTTGACTCCAGTTTTGCTCACAGGAACAATGCATCACCTTTGACAGAGTCCTGGGTTCTGATGCTCCTCAGGTAGGGGGGTCTGGTAGGGCGATGGGAGGAGGGTCAGAGCACTCAGGACCCTTGATCCTGGAGTGCTGAGTGCTTCCCAAGCTCTCTGGTCAGGGCAGGCTGGGCAGGCACCTGAGTCGGAGATGTGCCTCTGTCTCCCTGCAGGAGGCGGAGCAGGAGTTGCTAACAAGAGTCCAGTACATGCTGGGCTCGGTGGGCCGAGGGTACAGTGTGGCCCTGCTGCTTCGGGGTCGAGAAACAGAGGCACCCCGGCTTGTGCCTCAGGTGAGTCCCAGAGGATGCACCACTCATAGTTGTTATGAGACTCAAGTGTTGGCTCCTCAAGGAGACCTTCGAGAACTTTCCCCTCCCCACCCTAGCTGGACTAGGTGCCCCTCCTTGGGGTTCCTATAGCACCCTGTGGTCCATACAGGATGTCTTTCCAGCATCAATCACGAAGCTATTGAGAGGTCAGGGAAGGTGGGAGGCTGGGGTCCATGAGGTGAGGGTCAAGGAGGGGTGGTGTGCAAAGATCAAGTACTCAGGGAAGTCTACTTTTCACTGTTCTTAGTAATACTAATAATGATAATAAACATTTTGTTTTTAGGCTTCAGCAAAGTGCCCCCAAACTAAAATAGTTGCCTCAAAACCTTGTCATGAGCCCCTACCCTAGCGAACAGGAGGTCCCACTGAAAATGTCTGCTCACCTATCTGGCTCGCTGTGAACCACAAGGCCGGGGGCTATTTTTGTCCTGGCCACCAAGTCCATAGCACCTAGCACAGGGCCAGGCATAGAAATAATTTCCTTGCCCCCAGGAAATGTTGAAAAACAGGTTAATCCTTTCTCAATCCTCACTCACCCTTCTCTTTAGCTGATGCAGATGCTGTTTGAAGAAGCTCTGCCCCTCAGGGGCTCTGATGCCGTGCTTAGTACACTTAGCCTGGTGCAGGTGAGGCCCTGGGGGGAGGGGAGACCCGGGGAGCCAAGGCCATGTTGATGCTGCAAAAGAGCCCAAGGCTCAGGGACTGCCTGAAGAGTTTGGATCTCTTGCCCGTCCAAACACCTACAGCTAGTCTCTCATTGGTTCCCCCTCTTCCCGTTCATCCTCCGCACCACTGTCGGCTTGCCTTGCTGGGGTCTCCTTTTTCCTGCCTGAGATGGCTGAATTTTGGTGCCCTGCTTGGTTCACAGGGCCCCAGCGGGAGGATCACATGAGCCAAAGGCTGGGGAAAGGTTCGGTTTGTTAACAGATGTTGTGCTTGTGTGATCGCAGCTCAGCACCAGTGGGAGGAGTCGGGACCTGCTTGCTCCAGGGTCAGAGAACCTGTCAGCGCTGGATGTGTCCCCTCTGGGCTTGTGAGTGTCCAGAGCCCAACGGGGTCTGAGGGAGCTTGTCTTAAGTCAGGGCTGACACCCCAAACCAAGCCGTTGGAGGCTTCTCCCCACTGCCACTCCAGGGAAGGGAAGTTATGAACTTGGGGTCATGCTTACAGGTTTTGCGTTTGCCCCCAGGACTCCCTCTCACCGTCTTCCCTTCATCCCATATCTCCATAACCTCTCGCTCTTCTCACCACCCCATCCACTTACACCTCTTCAACTCAGTCATTACCATCCCGGGTGATCTGAGCATCTCACCGAGCAGAACTTCAGTTTCTCCATCTATAAAATGGGAGCAATCCCAACTATCCTGTTTCCCTCACTGGGCAGATGATAGGAGAAAAAATAAGATCATGAAGATGAGAGGCTTTTAGGGGATATATTGAGCTTGGAGTCTTGGGGATGATTCTTATAGGCTCTTGGGCCCCCATGGGCTCCCCATGCAGAGATTCTGGGGGGCTGGACAGAACCCTTGTGCTTAGGAGCTGAGATCAGCCTTCCCTTCCTCCAGGGTGGTAGAAAATGCCAGTGAAGTGGAGGTGTCTGACTCAAGAGCTGCCTCAGAGCTGTACTTGCAGGCTGCAGGTGGTGAAGACAGGTGAGGACAGGCGGGTGCCTTCACCCACCCCCACCCCCTAGCCATTTGGCCTGATCCTTTGATCTCCTCCACAGTGCCTGCTCTCTGCTCACTGTCACCATGTCCTGCCCATGGCCTGACCCTCCTGAGGGGCCTGGGACCCAGGGCATGTGGCGAGGAGCCTTGCGGATCCTGCAGCTTCCAGGAGCCCTGAAAGTTTGATGGAGCCTTTTAACAGCTTTGGGGAAGGCTTGGGTAGGTGGCTGAAATATGGATGTAGAGGCCCAGGGCAGCATCAGAGTCTCCTCCTTTCCTCATCTCTGACATGCTGAAGGATTTGCTCCCTTTAGTATTTCTTGTAAGGCAGGTCTACTAGCAATGAACTCCCTCAATTTTTGTTTATCTGGGCATACCTTACTTTCTCTTACATTTCTGAAGGATAGTCTTGCCAGATACAGAAATCTTAGTTGACAGGTTTGGTTTTTTGTTTTTTTTTTCTTTCAACACTTTAACTGTGTTATCCCACTGCCTTCTGGCCTCCATAGTTTCTGATGAAAAATTGGTTTTTAATCTTACTGAAGATCCCTTGTGCATAATAAGCTGCTTCTCTCTTGTTTTCAAGATTCTTTCTTTGACTTTGGATTTTGACAGTTTGATTATAATCTGTCCTGGTGTAGATCTCTTTGAGTATACCCTCCTTGGAATTTGTTGAGCTTCTTGGATGTGTAGATTCATGTCTTTCATAAGTTTGGGGGACTTTTTGAGCATTATTTCTTCAAATATTCTTTCTGTCCTTTTCTCTTTCTCTTCTCCCTCTGGGGCTCCCATTATGCATATGTTTGTACACTTGATGGCAGCCCACAGGTCTCTTAGGCTCATTTTCCTTCATTCTTTTTTCTTTCTGCTCCTCAGACTGGATAATTTTATTTGACCTATCTTCAGGTTTGTTGAGATTCTTGTGCCTACTCAAATCTACCCTCTAGTGAATTTTTAATTTCAGTTATTGTACTTTTCAGCTCCCATATTTCTACTTGGTTCCTTTTTATAATTTCTATTGTTCTATTGACAGTCACTGAGACATCATTTTCTTTTTTTTTTTTTCTTTATCTTTATTCCCCTTCTCCCACCACAAAATTTTTAGGAAAATTCCCAAGATAGCAGTGAAGCTAGAAGTTGGGTGGGAAAGAGGGAACTGGGAGTTGACAGAGGAGCCAGCCTTGGTGAGACATCATTTTCTTGATTTAGTTTTCTGAAAACATCTAAGACAGTTGATTTAAAGTCTTTGTCTACTGAATCCAGCGTCTGGTTTCCTCAAGGACAGTTTTTATTAATTTCTTTTTCTTTTTTCCTGTGAGTGAGGCATACTTTCTTTTTTTTTAATTAAAAAAAATTTATTTATCTATCTGGCTGTGCCAGGTCTTAGTTGAGGCATGTGGGATCTAGTTCCCTGACCAGGGATCGAACCAAGGCCCCCTGCATTGAGAGTGCAGAGTCTTAGCCACTGGACCACCAGGGAAGTCCTGAGCCATACTTTCTTATTTGCATGCCTAATAATTTTTTGTTGGAAACTGGTCAATTTGAGTATTTTTTGTAAAGACTATATTCTTTATTGTGTTGGTCTCTTAAGTCTCCATTCTTTTTCCTTAGTGCTCTGACACTCTGGATATGATAATCTGGTAACTCTGAAAGCTGGATTCTCCCTCCTCTCCAGGGTTTGCCTTGTTGCTTGTTGTGAGCATCAGCCATCCATTTGCTTACTTTTCCAAACAATTTTTGCAAAGACTGTATTCCTTGCAGTCACTGAAGTCTTCATTCTATTATCTCAGTGATTAGCCAATGACCTGACATAGAATTCCCTAACCCCCGAGAATGCGCCCCCCCCAAAAAAAAAGAAAGGAAAAGGAGAAAAAGGAGGAGGAGGACAGGTAGGGGAAAGGGAATGAGGAGAGAGGAAGGAGAAGAAGGAGGAGGCAGGGAGGAGGAAAAGGGAAAAAAAGGGAGAAAGGAAGAAAAAAATTCTCCAGGTTTCTACAGACTGGCTCTGTGTTGGGTCACTCCTTAAATGCTTAGCAAGACCATTTACAGCTCTGCCTTAGCCTCACCTGATGCTTGCACTGAGCCCTAATTCAGACAGAGGTGAAAGCCTTTGGTCTTCTCAGGTCTCTTCTGACCACACATACTGCCCTGGACATATGTGTGGCTTTCTAGGTACCCTAGTACACGTGGGAACCTTTCAAAATCCTTATTCCTCCAAAATTTCACTCCCCACCTTTTCTCCCTGTCTTTCCATGTGTCTATTGTTTGCCCCAACTGTTATTTTTGCTTGTTCTTTCATCTCTCAATGCTTTGGGGGACTGTCCTCTGGCATAGCTCCTCTGTTCCAAGAGAATTCCAAGGTAAGTGAGACAAAGGGAGGCAGCTTTTGTCAGTCCTTTGTGGGAAACCCCAGACAATCAAAACAGACAAACACAGTTCCCTGGGAACAAGATCTACTCTGCTCCTTTCAGAACCAGGTACCCCCACCAGAAATGTGGGCTGTGCTGGGGAGAAGGTTGGGGCTAGGGTAAGTTAAAAACACCACAAAGATCTCTTACCATATTTTAGCTGCCTTTCTCCTGGTTAAACATTCACTTGATTGCTGTCAACCTTTGACTATCTCCCAGAGTTCCAGTAAGGTTGATTCTGACCATTTTTTTTTTGCCAGATGTTTCTGGGAAGGGACAGACTCCCAGAGTTCCCTACTCTGCCATTTTTGTTGATGTCACCTTGCTTTGCCATTTTACAATTGGGCTGTATTTTTATTATTGAGGTGTAGGAGCTCTTTATATATTCTGGATACAAGTCTCTTGTCAGATATAAAATTAAATTGTTTTTACTATGAGAATGTATTATTTGTGTAATTTTAAAAGTAATCAAATATAAAATAAAATAAAGATCTATACAAGGTTGCAAATCTGTCTGGTGGTACACAAAAGTGACTGGAAACAGTCAATCTTTCCATCAGAGTGTGATTTGGGCCAGTTTCTTTCTGCATCTACCGGTGGACATCTCTTTTCTTCCTCCATCCCTCCCTCTGGCAGAGACTGTCCCTTGCTGCAGGTGTTGGCTGGTAAGGTTGTTGGTGAGGAGGTGGAGGGCTCTCTGCCCTGGATTGTCTCATGTCTCCTGGAAGGAAACAACTACAGTGGCCTTCTTCTTCGCCTGGACCCTCAAGGTGGCCTGGGGGAGGACGTGGGTTTCTTTGGGAAGCTCTAGGATCTGGCCTTAGGCCTGGCCCCCCTCTCACCCAACCAGCGGCAGCCCCAACCCTAGCGAGCCGAGAGAGAGCCTGAGCCTCTGGGACGGCCAGGATTCAGAAAGGTCCCAGAATTGCCAGGCTCTCACCGTCTGGAAAGGTAAGGCCAATAGTAAAAGCAACCCCTCACCCTTTCAGAGGGCTTCAACAGTTTACCAAGCATTTTTACACTGACTAAAACCTTTGATTCTTACCACAATGCCATGAGGCAGGTCGAATCTACGGGCGAGGGAAGGGAGGCAGGTTTAATTTATAGACGAGGAAAGGGAGGATCAGAGAAGGGAAGGTACTTTCCTATTTTCACACACTCATTAAAGATCAGGCCTCTGGGAAATGATATGTCAGAAATTTGGGGGAGGTCAAGTGGAGGGTATAGATCAAACAAGAATGACCATGAGTTGATATTTGTTGAAGCTGATAAGGTGATAAGTAGATGAAATTCCTAGACTTTGTATATGTTTGAAGTTTTCCACTAATAAAAGAGTAAAAAAAAAAGTCTGTGGGGCTTCCCTGGTGGCACAGTGGTTAAGAATCCGCCTGCCAATGCAGGAGACATGGGTTCAAGCCCTGGTCCGGGAAGATCCCACATGCTGCGGAGCAAGTAAGCCCGTGCGCCACAACTACTGAGCCTGCGCTCTAGAGCCCGTGAGCCACAGCTACTGAAACCCACACACCCAGAGCCTGTGCTCCGCAACAAGAGAAACCACTGCAATGAGAAGCCCGCACACCACAACAAAGAGTAGCCCCGGCTCGCCGCGACTAGAGAAAGACCACATGCAGCAACAAAGACCCAACGTAGCCAAAAAAAAAAAAAGAAAAGTAAAAGTCTGGCCCTCTGTCTTCAGAAGCAACAAACACATTCATTTGGCCAACATATTCCCAGACCACAGCCTACATCAGGCCCTGTGGAATGAGGAAGATAAGTCGGGGCACTTCACACTCTCAAGGACAAAGCAGGGAGGGAAGGAAGGGTGTTTACGTATAGGCCAGTTTGGGATCGTGACTAAGGGCACAGGCTTTAGTGTCAGACAGAACTGGGCTTGAGTTTCAGTTCTGCCACTCACCAGGAAGTTGCTTGACCTCCCTGAGGTTCAGTTGCCTCATCTGGAAAATGTGGAGGGAGACAGGGTAAATTAGGGTTGCTGCCTCACTGGAGTATTGTGTAGCTAAAAAGAGACAATCCATGAAAAGCCTTAGCACAGTACCGTCGAACACATGGAAAATGCCGGACAGGTGTTAGCTATTTTTTTTTAAAATTAATTAACTAATTTTTGGCTGAGTTGGGTCTTTGTTGCTGCACGTGGGCTTTCTGTAGTTGCGGCGAGCGGGGGCTACTCTTCGTTGCGGTGTGCAGGCTTCTTATTGAGGTGGCTTCTCTTGTTGCGGAGCACAGGCTCTAGGCATGTGGGCTTCAGTAGTTGTGGCTCACAGGCTCCAGAGCGCAGGCTCAGTAGTTGTGGCACGCGGGCTTAGTTGCTCCGCGGCATGTGGGATCTTCCCGGACTAGGGCTTGAACCCGTGTCTCCTGCATTGGCAGGCGGATTCCCAACCAATGTGCGACCAGGGAAGCCCAGGTGTTAGCTATTTTTATGAATAGTACTGTTAATAGAAATTAAAAGTTTTACAGGCAGTGTGCTTTGGAGTTCAGAGGAAGGAGGGATTCACTCTGTGTCTCCCCTTCCTAGGCAGCTCCCTGAGCTTGCTCCAGGCTGCTCTGTTGGGGGCCGCAGAAAGGAGGATGAAGGTGAGACAGGTGAGGCCCACCCTCTGGGATGCAGTAGAAGAGGCCCGGGCCCGGCGGGCTGGCCTGAAGAGCCTGCGTTCAGGCCTCCTTGGGGACGCCCTGACAGATAGTGGGCTCGGCCAGCTGGGCAAGGCACTGCGGGAGTTGCAGGTGAGCAAGGTGAGGTCTGTGGGTGCCTGGGCCAGCAATGGCCAGAGCCCACCCAGAATCCCCTCTCCACAGGTGGTAAAAGCCTGGAGCCAGCGCTCAGGAAGCTGGATGCTCAAAACAGTCAAAACTGAGGCTATGGGGCTCCCAGAACCACAGGTACGTCTTCCCATCCAAACTCTTGGGAGGCCTATTGATGCCTGCCTCCTTTTTCTCTGTTTACAGAGCACTGTGAGGGGGCTCTCCCTTCCTTCATTAATGTATTGATTCCCGAACATTTATTGACCACTATGTGCCTTTTTATAATCCTCTGGAAAGAAACAATGAACACCATGATCAGTGCTCTGAAGAGCTTATCCAAAGGGCTCTATGTGGGTATCTAAGTTAGTCTTGGCGAGAGAGGGAAGGAAGACTTCATGCAGGAAGTTGAAACCTGAAGGAGATGGCTAGCAAAGATGAATGAAGAACATTCCAGGCAGAAAAAATAACAGGAGAAGTGTCAGAGGTAAGCGAGTTCTTGATCTCTTTGGGAGACTGCAAGCAGCTCAATTTGCTGGAGGATAGAGTTTGAGGAAGAAAGTCCAGAGGGAAGGATTGAAGACTGAAGTAGGGGCCTGGTCATGCAGGTCTTTGTAAATCAATTGAGATGTTTGCAGTTTGTCTGGAAGGTCAAGGGGAAGCCACAATTTACTTTAAACAGGGAAGACAACATTGCTCCCAGCATTGCTTCAGCAAACTGAAGCTCTGAGAAGTGATGTGAGTATCCCAGGGTCACTAGGATAATCAAAGGCAGCAGAGGTGCAAAGACATCCAAGTCCTTAGACTCAGTACGGCACTCTTTCATCCCCTTAGGATGCATGTCCTCCCTTATGCAGAAGGGGCGCTGTCTTCCATGATTTGTCACAGGGTGGCTGGAAGGTCGCCCCTGTCCAGCTTCTCCTGGTGCTTTCATTTTCTTAATTACTTATAACTTGTTTTTACAGCCCTGGGCCTTGGGAATTAGGCCTGTAAACTCCAAGTTATTGAACAGGGCTGGCCACTGCTAAGTGCTTTGGGTGCCTTATCTCATTTCATGCTCTCTACAACTTTTATCAGCTCCATTTTATGGATGAGAAAATGGAGACTCAGAAGACTATCCACCTGCCTGAGGTCAAACAGCTAAGAAAAGGAGGGGCTGGGACCCTGATCTGATTTCAAAACCAACACTGTCCTGGGAGAAAAGGTAATAGAATTCTCATTCGTAATATATTCTCAGCAGGTCACAGATTCAACAGCAAGCCCCAGCCCAGGCCTCCAGGAAGAGCCTCAAGGTGAGGCTGGTGCTTGGGGTGGAGCTGGAGGTCTTCTCCACCTTTGGTGTGCTTAACTGCATTTTCCTCCAGTGGCAGGAAGAACAGCATCTATAGGACCTGATCTCCACCAAATGCACCCTCTCAGGGACTCTGAGGAACAGGTAACACCTCATGTACCCCAGAACAACTGGAAGCTGTTGGGGAGTAGAGTCGCAGAGTCCTGATAATATGTGTCCTGCTTACCTTGCCCTAACATCAGGGAGAAATATGGAGCTTTAGGCAAATAAAGGGCCTGAAGGGTTACTGTATCCCTCAAGGAGGGGCATGGGAAGGGGCTGTTTTCCTACTGGGTTGGTTTAGGGGCATGGGGTCCCTAGGGCCTCCATGGCACCTACTGGCAGAATCAATACCTCTCCTCTTCCCTCACGGCCTCTGAGTCTCTGTCCAGGCCACAGGCTCTTTCAGGCCAGCTAGTCTCCTGGATGTAATTCTAGGAGCTGCCCTGGTAATGGCGGTCTGTTGGAAAAGTTGGGCCCTGTGTCCCAAGGCTGTGTACACACATGGGCTTCTGGCTGAGCCTAGAATGATGCCACCTAGGCCCAGCAGGCCCCGGATGTGGCCCTGCAGTTCTTCCTGGCTCAGGCCCAGAGGCAGAGACTGCGAGAACAGCACCAAATTTGGATCCAAGAGGAACTGAAGCATTTGCAACAGGAGGAAGAAGTGGTGGCAGGGGTCCACGTCAAAGGCCTGGTGGCTGAAGAGGTGAGGAAGGTCAAGTAGGGGACTTGAGGCTCCTACTTTTTTTTTTTTTTTTTTTTTTGCTGAGTCAGGTCTTAGTTGTGGCACAGGGGATCTTCGTTGAGGCATGTGGGATCTTTCGTTGTGGCACTTGGGCTTCTCTCTAGTTGTGGTGTGTGAGTTTTTCTCTTCTCTATTTGTGGCGTGGGGGCTCCAGGGCACGTGGGCTCTGTAGTTTGCGGCACGCAGGCTCTCTAGTTGAGGCACATGAGCTCAGTAGTTGTGGCACGTGGGCTTAATTGTGCCGCAGCATGTAGGATCTTAGTTCCCAGACCAGGGATCAAACCTGCATCCCCTGCATTGCAAGGCGGATTCTTTACCACTGGACCAGCAGGGAAGTCCCTTGAGGCTCCTTTTAACCTGGCCAGGTACTGTGCTGGGATCTAGCATCAATCACAGCAGACTGGACCACAACCTCTCTCATGGCCCTCACAGCTTTGTGGGGGATAGATGATGCAATTCTCAGTGCTAAGTGCTGTAAATGAGGGAGCTAGTGACTTGTGGGAACAAACAGGTGTACCTGGCCCAGGCTGGAGTGGAGAGAAGATGACATCTAACCTGAGACTTTAAGGACAAACAAATTAGCCAGAGAAATTCACTAGACTCAGATCCACAGGGCAGTTTGTGCTCATCACATGGAGGCACTAAGTAAACAGATCTTGTTTAAACAAGAAACAAAACTTGTGTGCACAGAAGTCGGATCAGGGGAAGGTGGGAGACATGCTCTTAGGAGAGAATCCTGTATGAGCAAAAGTCCAAATGGAAGCAATGGCAAAGTAGGTTCTGGGTGTTGCAAACTGTCCATCTGGCTGGAGCCTGGCAGGTGCATGGTCAGAGTCAAGGATAAAGAGACCGTGTGCCACGCCTCTGGATTTGGACTTTACCCCAAGGATGACGGTGAACTATTGAAATGCATGTGTCATCTCAGTTATGTCCCTCACTAGCCATGTGAATTTGGTCAAGTTAGGTCACTTCTCTGACCCACTGTTTCCAAATCTGTAAAATAGCAATTACCTCAAAGGTTATCATTAAACGAAATAATAATATAAAGTAAGTAGAGCAGAGCCTGGCACACAGGTTGCGCTCAACAAACGGTACGTATTATCACTGAAGGTTTCCGAGGAGAGGCAGAGATGGCACCGGGAGTGGACAGGGCTGAGACTCCAGCTGGAGGCCCTTCGGGCAGAACGGGACACTGCGGAGCAGGACCTGACAGCCCTCTATGACCTGCACGTGCAGGCTGCCCGGGCTTGGACGTGCCACGTGCTGCAGGTCAGTGAGGACAGAGGGCAGGCCTTGAATTGGTTCCAAGGCTGGCTGACTGATGGGGATCTCTGAATCTGTGCACAGGTATTCCGAGCCTGGCGGGGGCTGTGGGAGGAACAGGCCATGGCCACAGAGCATCACTATCGCAGCCTGCTGGCTGGCATCCTGCAAGACACCATCAACCTGGCCACGCAGAACCAGGAGCTCCAAGCCCAGAGCCAGCGACTTCAGCAGACTAGGCTGGGCGCAGGCATGCTGGATCCCCGCCCTGAGGAGAAATGTGGGGATCAGGAATCCTTCAGGGGCAGTCTCCTCTCTCCTCATTCGTAAAGGTCCTAGAAGGGAGAGCAGTTGGGACACAACAGCCAAGCTAACCTTCATTATGGATAATTAATAACACCACTAACTAGGTCTCATTGTGCCAGTACCTGCTGAGCACACTAACATCCCTTATTTGATTTGGTCATTTCCAGTCCCCTTTATAGTAGTAGGTATCATCTGACACCGCACCCCCCCATTTCAGAGATAAGCCAACTAAAGCTAAGAGAGGTTAAGTAATTGTTCAAGGACAGTCAGCCAATAGCTGACAGAGCCAGAATTAAAACTCAAGCCTGGTTGGCTATAGCTCTACACTGCCAGAAATAGTAGTTCACAAGTTGCAGTGTGCATCAGAATCACCTAGGAAGCTTACTGAAAAGAAAAAAAAAAAAATAAAGAAAAAAAATTCCCAAACCTCACTCCCTAAGATTCTACTTCAGCAGGACTGGGATTTCTCTTTTTTTTTTTTTCCCCACAAGCTTACCAGGTATTCTACCACGGGAGCAGGGCCTGACATTCCTCTGGTCATGAGAAGAGACGACAGGCAGGAATATCAGTGAGGGATCCAGAGGAGATGAGAAACGAGACCACCTTGAGTCCTAAGAGCTCTCTAGCCTACAGTCTACAGTTTGCCTTGCTGGGCCCAACACTTTCTATTCCCAAGACTCCTTCCAAATTCTCCAGGGCCCAAGTTTTATGCTTCAGAGAAACTTCCAAAGCTCCGTGACAGAAAATAGTCTCGGCTCCATGGAATTCTCAAAGGAAACAATGCTGTTAGCAACAGCTGGGAGAAAACAGCCTCTTCTCTTAGTCAATAAGTCACCCCAGGATTAAGATACTCAGGGCACCAGAGGAATGAAATTATGTTTGAGAGGAGCTATGCAACACAGAAGACACAGGACAATTATGGCCAACTGTAGGAACCACCTATACCCCAGAGCACTTTATTAAGACCTTATTGCTAATACAGACACTGATTGAGCTATACAAGTTTCCCTGTGCCTGGTCCCAGGTCACTCTGTGTAGAGTTTCCCTAGGCTGTTGGGAGCCGGGACACTGCTAGGAAAGGGCAGGACTCAGAGTGGGAAAGATGGTACCTCCTAGAAGCTATAGAGGGGGCAGTGGGCTATGAGAGAGCCCTTAAGAGTGAGCAGAGAGGTCAGGAGTGTAGGCTTAAGCCAGGGCCCAGGGACAACATCCCTGAGATGAGTCAAACCCCAGTCCTCTCTGAGGTTTCCAGAACAAAGGCGGGATAAGGAGAGAGCGGGGGCATTATTTCCAGGTGCTGCTGCAGCTAGGGGAGCATGGCAGAGGCCTGGGTGATGGGCGTATAATCTGCAGCAACTGGGCTTTCCTACATGACAGTGGGGGGGGGGTGAGCATGTTATGGGGGAGTCATGCACCATGGCTGGGCTGGAGCAGCCAGCACCAGGCCTGGGGGCAGTGGGTCTGCTGGGGTGACCACAGTAGGCAAGGAAAGCCAACTGCTGCCCACACCCCACTTTAAGAAACTGCATTCATGCAGGTTGAGGCAGGGCACCTCCTCCCATCAGGCACGGTATCATTTCTCAGGCCCATGAACTGATGCTCCCCTAATTCCTTAGTCAGAAAGAACTTCTGGGGGTGTAAGAGTTTCCTTAACCAAACCCAGGCTTCAAGTCTCCCAGGCTCAACCCTCCATCCACCTACCTCCAGGAACTGACATGGCTGCTCGCACTTCCCCAGCTTTTCTCGCAAGGCACTTGTTATAGGGCTGCTGAGGGGAGGGGTCAGCACTGGGAGGTGGCTCCGATGGTGGCGCCTCCGATGGTGGCGCCCAATCTACAGGTCAGGAATCAGGGTGGAGGTGGTGAGGGGCTAGCGACTGCCATAGTACAGGCGCACAGCCAGGCCAATGAGCAGCGTGGCCAGGAAGAAGGCAGCTGTGAGCTGAAGCTGCAGCAGGGCTGCTGAGAGCACAGCGTTGACCACTAGCGAGCAGGACACAACGAAGAGGCGTGTGATGCTGCTGCCGTGCTTCATGACAGCTGACATGAGCAGCCCATTTAGTGCCTGGCTCAGCACTACAAGTGCTGCCCATCCTGAGAAACCCTCCAGGAGGCCTGGGCCGGGGCCGCCACCTGCATGCAGACCTAGGTTCAGGAGCACACCAAAAGTGTAGAGGAAGAGGTTCTGAAGTGCCAGGGGCAGCCGCTGTCGCTTCATGAGCAGCTCTGTGTACACGGAAGACAAGCCTGAGATGAGGCAGTACAGGATGAGAAGCAGCAGTCCCAGTGGACTGATATGCAGGGGCATGGGGCCTGCAGCAGCTGCAGAAGGGGGCCCAGGAAGGGTGTTCCCAGGGTCCTGCAGGCCACCAGCTGCATAGCAGGCTCCTGCTGCAATGAGCAGCAGCAGTGCTAAGCCCTGGCGTGCAGAGAGGCGGTGTCGGAGGCAGAGGCAGTAGAACAGGGCTGTGCTTCCAATCTTGAGATTGCTCAGCACCTGGTAGGTGCTGGGGTCCATGTAACGTTGAAGGTAGATCACCAGGTTGTTGCTGGCGCCGTAGAGCAGGGCTGATAGTGCGAACGGGGCGGCCTGGCGCCAGGGTGGGGTCTGCTGGGGCCACGCTTGCCAGCCCACCAGGAGGGAGAAGGCGCACAGCAGCAGCTTGGTCAGTTCAGTCAGCAATACAGCCGAAGACGGTCGGAAGGGCACACGGCCATCCACGTGGCACAGTGCCAGCAATGGGGCATGGGCTCCGTACATGGCAGTGGACAGGAGTAGCATCAGGGTCCAGCGGGCCTGCCTGGGATGGCCCAGGCCTGGCACACCCCCGTCCTCTACACTCATGCCCAAACTAGACCCTGGGTGGCCTGTGTAGCTAGCAAGGGGGGTCAGTGGGGATTGTGACACGTTCTGGGAAAATCAAGTTATGGAGCTGGCTCCGAGGGGAGAGGAGCCTTGGTACATCGCCAGAGAGAATACTGAGAATCAAGAGTCAGCTGCAAACTCCACAATAAGGGCTAGAAGAGGAAGGGGCTGGTAGTTCTAGAAGCCACTGTCTTGGGGCCAATGCCATGGGGTTTTGGAGGCGAGGAGTCCAGGGTGCTGGCTGATGAGCCACTGTCCAGCCTCTGCAGGAAGGCGGCAGGAAAGCTGGAGACAGCAAATGGGTGAAAGCCGGGGAGGCCAGATATGGCATCTGTGGTTGAAAGGCCTCCACCTGCAGGCCCCAGCTGCTCATCCTGCCTCCCCCAGGGGATCCAGAGCTAGTCGGGCCCCTTGCGCAGTGATTGAAGATAGTCCCTCAATGTCTTCTCCACATTGGGCACAGCATACGCCTGAGCTGCATATATGCCAGTGCAGGTGCCCACGGCAAAGCCTAATACTGCTGACGCCCTCAGTTTGGCCACCACATAGCCAGCCAGGAAGCCCTTGAGGAATGGAGAGGACAAGAGCGAGCCATCCTGTGGAGGAAAATGCAGGAGAAAATTCAGCCAGGCTCTCCCGTTCTCTGCCCAGGAGCTACTCAAGCTGGGCTTAGCATGTTCCACTACCTGCTCCTCCTTACTCTGGAAAACCGTAGTATGCTCACCAAAGATTTTTTCAAGGTCCTGGGCAGAAAAAGAACCTAGGAGTCATGATCACACAATGTCAGAACCCTGAGGTTAGAAGGCTCTAACCACAGAATCCCACTGAGAGAGATGTCCCTGAGGAATCTGACCCCTGCTTGCTTCTCCAGTCTCATATCCTAGCATGCTCCCCCACTACTGCAGCCAAACTGAACTGTTTTCACCTCACATGTTCATCATGCTACCTCCGACCACAAGGGCTTTGCCTCTGCTGTTCCATCTGCTGGGAATGTTCCCTCCTCTCCCCTTCACCCAGTTAACCCCTACTTAAGATCCCAGTTCAAAGGCCATTTTCTCAGGGAAACTTTCCTTGGTGACACAGAGAATAGGCCCTCAATAACCAACCATTTGCTGAATAAATTTCTACCATCCACTCAAAAGCATATTGGCCAATGAAGCCTAAGCGGGAGGCAGGGGGCAGGTGCACCTTTACCTGGTCTACACCACTGTTGACTTCGTCTTCCACACGTTGCTGCAGGCGCTCCAGCTGGTTCTTGAGAAATGCCAGGTCCTTAAGCTTGGGCAGAGAATCCTAGGACAAAAGAGAGGTTGGCTCCAGAAGGTTGACCCAGCCCCATCCCCTGCTCAAGTCTATCAGAGGCTGGGGGCAGGAGGCAGTGAGCCTAAGAAACCCCTTCCTATAAAACCTTCTTGAGATGATAGTGGTAAAGGAAGAAAGGCATTGAAAAGTAAAGAATTCACACGGGGGCCTGGGAGGGGGTGACCGATGGGACCTGCATCGGTAACTTACAGCAACTCTTACAGGAATTTTATACAGTAAGCGGTGTATAGAGAAGACAAGAGGGGCAGCTGGGGGACCTAGGTTTATCCGGCAAGCGCTAGTGAGTAGGAAGCTACCTGAAAGTCTATCTTGTCGTCTGTGTCCCGAGGCCTAACACAGGGACTCCAAGTACTTAGTAAATGTGTGGTTGGTGCTGAACTTCCAGACTAACGGTGAGGCAGTTCCTTGGACAATTTGGGGGTAAACCTGATTTCTGCCTAGGCTTCTCCCTCTTCCTCCCCAAACCCATCCCAAACTGAATGTGTGACTGGATGAGCTGGGGTTTGGTGCGGGGGGAGGAAACGTGGCTGTCTGCAAGGGTGTGGGTAAATGAATTCAGGATTTTGGTCGCACATAACGACGAAATTAGTGTGCCCAAGGAATGTGTTCGAATGCGGGTGTGTCTGTGTTGTTGGAAACTTCCTGTCTCTGGAAGGGAAATTTCGGTGGCTAGAGAATAGAGAAGAGTGAGGACTGTCTGCAAGTAACTAAGGATCATCATGGTCCGGGGTTGGGGGTTGGGGTGACACCTGGGGGATTCCCGGTTCCGCCTGCCTTGCGCAATGCTCCGCCACTCCACTTCCCATTATTGAGGCAGTCGACAGGAGTAAAAGTCCGCTCCCAGGAGAAACAAGGGGCACCCCCCACCCAGGAGCCCCCCCCATCTGTCGCCTCTCCCCAGGACTAAAAAGGTGTGAAGCCCACCCCGGACTGCAGACAACGTTCCAGTTCGCTCACCTTGTCATCCGCCATCTTCCCTGTCGAGCTTGTTGCGCAGGCGCAGCACCGCCTCCCTCCTGGCAAATGCTACTGCCATCTTTACTGAGGGCGCAGGCACTTCCGGGGCATTTCTGGAACGGGTGGAGGCCCTTTCCTGAAGGTCTTCTTTTCGCAGATACTCCCACGTGACCTCTCCCTTTGAGACCCAGGCTGCGTGTGCGCGCGCGCAGACTACCTAAACGCCATGATCTCACTCGTGCGCGTGTGCACTCCGCCCAAGTTCGCCTGGCGGATCTTCCGCCGCTTGATGAGCTCACAATTGAGCTATGATGTCAGCGTGCGCGCCGCGGACCTTGCTCCTCCTCCAGACCTTCGCACGCCAACGCGCGGCAACTGGGGGATCAGGACGGCTGTTTTCACGCGCCACCTTTCGACAGGAGGCGCTGCTCAGGCGGGTCCTTTCCCGCCCCAGGACCCGGCCCCTGCCCCGCCCCGTATTTGTGCGGCGCCAGCTGGCCAGGCCGATTCCAGGGCAGAGGCTGGACTTGTAGGCGCAGCAGCTCCGGAGGCGAGCTGGGGACGCGACCAGGGCTATGCTGGGCAAGGATTACATGCTGGCCATCATTCTGGTCAACTGCGATGGTGTGCACAGAGGGTCCCGATGGGAGGATCGGGAGCTGAGGGGGGACAAGGGAGCGCGAAAGGCTACCCCAGCCTCAAAGACAGGGAGGGGC